GGTGACAAAATCTCTCAGCATTTGCTTGTCTGTAAAGGATTGTATTTCTCCTTCACTTATGAAACTTAGTTTGACTGGATATGAAATTCTGTGTTGAAAATTCTTTTCTTTAAGAATGTTGAATACTGGCCCCCACTCTCTTCTGGCTTGTAGGGTTTCTGCCGAGAGATCCGATGTTAGTCTGATGGGCTTTCCTTTGTGGGTAACCTGACCTTTCTCTCTGGCTGCCCTTAACATTTTTTTCCTTCATTTCAACTTTGGTGAATCTGACAATTATGTTTCTTGGAGTTGCTCTTCTCAAGGAGTATCTTTGTGGTGGTCTCTGTATTTCCTGAATTTCAGTGTTGGCCTGCCTTGCTAAGTTGGGGAAGTTCTCCTGGATAATATCCTGCAGAGTGTTTTCCAACTTGGTTCCATTCTCCCCTTCACTTTCAGGTATACCAATCAGACGTAGATTTGGTCTTTTCACATAGTCCCATATTTCTTGGAATCTTTGTTCATTTCTTTTTACTCTTTTTTCTCTAAACTTCTCTTCTTGCTTCATTTCATTCATTTGATCTTCAATCACTGATACCCTTTCTTCCAGTTGATCGAGTCAGTTACTGAAGCTTGTACATTTGACACGTAGTTCTTATGTCATGGTTTTCATCTCTATCAGGTTGTTTAAGGACTTCTCTGCATTGGTTATTCTAGTTAGCCATTCATCAAATCTTTTTACAAGGTTTTTAGTTTCTTTCCACTGGGATCGTAATTCCTCCTTTAGCTCAGAGAAGTTTGATTGTCTGAAGTCTTCTTCTCTCAACTCATCAAAGTCATTCTCCATCCAGCTTTGTTCCATTGCTGGAGAGGAGCTACATTCCTTTTGAAGGGGAGAGGCACTCTGATTTTTAGAATTTCCAGCTTTTCTGTTCTGCTTTTTCCCCATCTTTGTGGTTTTATCTACCTTTGGTCTTTGATGAGGGTGACGTACAGAGGGAGTTTTGGTGTGGATGTCCTTTCTGTTAGTTTTCCTTCTAACAGTCAGGACCCTCAGCTGCAGATCTGTTGGAGTTTGCTCGAGGTCCACTCCAGACCCTGTTTGCCTGGGTATCAGCAGCGGAGGCTGCAGAAGAGTGAATATTGCTGAACTGCATATGTTGCTGTCTGATCGTTCCTTTGGAAGCTTTGTCTCAGAGGTGTACCCAGCTGTGTGAGGTGTGAGGTGTGAGGTGTCAGTCTGCCCCTAGTGTGGGATGCCTCCCAGTTAGGCTACTCGGGGGTCAGGGACCCACTTGAGCAGACAATCTGTCCGTTCTCAGATCTCAAACTCCGTGCTGGGAAAACCATTACTCTCTTCAATGCTATCAGACAGGGACATTTATATCTGCAGAGGTTTCTGCTGCCTTTTGTTTGGCTATGCCCTGTCCCCAGAGGTGGAGTCTACAGAGACAGACAGGCAGGCAGACCTCCTTGAGCTGCGGTGGGCTCCACCCAGTTTGAGCTTCCAGGTAACTTTGTTTACCTACTTAAGCCTCAACAATGGTGGGCACCCCTCCCCCAGCCTCCCTGCCACCTTGCAGTTAGATCTCAGACTGCTGTGCTAGTGATGAGGGAGGCTCCGTGAGTGTGGGACCCTCCAAGCCAGGTGCGGGATATAATCTCTTGATGTGCCGTTTGCTAAGACCCTTGGAAAAGCGCAGTATTAGGGTGGGAGTGACCCGATTTTCCATGTGTTGTATGTCACGGTTTCCCTTGGCTGGGAAAGGGATTTCCCTTCCCCCTTGCGCTTCCTGGGTGAGGCGATGCCTCGCCCTGCTTTGGCTCTCGCTCGTTGGGCTGCACCCACTGTCCTGCACTGACTGTGTGACACGCCCCAGTGAGATGAACCTGGTACCTCAGTTGGAAATGCAGAAATCTCCCATCTTCTGTATTGCTCACGCAGGGAGCTGGAGTCTGGAGCTCTTCCTAGTCGGCCATCTTGGTGCGGCTCTCGAAACCTATAATTTAATACAGCATTTTTCATATCATGGATTATCACTTGTTAGATAGTCCCAACTGCACTTAAAAAAATACATGTTTTATAGTAAGCCTAAGTACTGTCTTTAAGTGTTTAAAGTATTCAGAGTCCTGGTTAAAATCCTGTGTTGTTTTCATTTTCAGTGAGCACAGTTTAGTTCAAAGTTAACATTGAATCCTTCATACTACAGTTGAATATAGTATATACAAAACTGTATGGTATGTTTTTCTTTTTAACTGTTGAACCTCTCCCCTCTTGCAAATTTGTGTTACATTTTAACAGTGGGAGCATTAGGCTTTTCACTAGAAATAATTTTACATTCTTTGTTTTTTTTTTTAATGTGTTTTCAGTGCCATTTCTCATATCTGATCTCACTGAACTCTGCTACATCCCTCTGAGGTGGTAGACAGGTAAAATGTCTACCTATTTGCTATTGTAAGGAAACTGAGGTGCAGACAGGTTAAGTGACCTGTGCCATGTTCCACAGCTCAACCTAACTCCAAGCCATCTGTTTGAAGTTGAGGGTTTTTCATGCCAATAACACCCCCCTCTTAACGGTAGACTAGGGCTTGAAATAAGGTCTTGCTTTGCCAGTAGAGGTGCTCAAACCATTGGCTTGCCTGCCTACCTGATGTCCCCAGGGCAGAAGCCTCCTGACTGACCCGGTGAGGTGTTGCCAAGGGTGGATCCGATCCACCTCTGCCATTTTAAGAAAGTGCCACGTGGTGGCTCATGCCTGTAATCTCATGCATAATTTGGGAGGTCAAAGCAAGAGGATCGCTTGAGCCCAGGAGTTTGAGACCAGCCTGGGCAACTTAGTGAGACCCTGTCTCTAGAAAAAGAAAGTTAAAAAGTTAGGTGTAATGGGACACACCAATGTCATAGTCCCAGCAGTTCAGGAGACTGAGGTGGGAGGATTGCTTGAGCTCAGAAGGTCAAGGCTGCAGTGAGCTATGGTCACACCACTGCAGTCCATCCTGAGTGACCGAGGGAGACCCTGTCTCGTTAATAAATAAATAAATAAATAAATAAATAAATAAATAAATAAAAAGGCAGCAACACTCTCCGTGACCACCTTTCACCTTTCCTTGACTGGGCTCCTGTTTGGTGAAGGAGCACGTTACATTTGCATTTGCTCCGAGTCCTCCATACTCATGGGATTTTCTTTCGGTATTTAACATTTTTGATTATATGTTTCTTTCCTAGTCCAAAGAATCCTCATCGGTGCTTAGCTGTGACATCTCCGTGGATGACAAATACATTGTCACTGGCTCTGGGGATAAGAAGGCCACAGTTTATGAAGTTATTTATTAAGGACAAATCTTCATGCAGACTGGACTCCTCCTGGTAGCACTTTGCTCTGTCATCCTTTTTGTTCACCCCCATCCCCGCATCTAAAAACCAAGGATTTCAGATACTCATTGCAGTTGTGGAGTTTAAATCCCCTTTCTTAACCTCACTTCCCACTTGCTATTGAATTGTGAATAGTCATTAAAAACCTGTGATACCAAATCTTCAGCTATCTACTTGGAAGAACATGGAATAAGCATACTTAACAGTGAACAGAATCTTTAATTATGTATTATATCTGTAATATATTTATTTTGTTTAAAGAAGGCTTTCTAACAATGACTGACTAAATAAAGCTGTCTGCTCCTGCATTGATAATGAAGGTGCGTTGTATTTGATACCCCTCCCCCCCTTTTTTTGGCAAAGGAGGGGAAAGGAAGGTTTAAAATAATTGATTTAAAATGTCACTAAATGTAGACTGATGACTGTATAGAGATGTGAAATGTATAATTACACATGGAAGCAATATGTTGCTGTGTTGTTATTAGGTTTTTTTGTTTTTGTTTTCTACATCTTTCAAAGACCTTTGGAAATTTGGCTGAACAATTAGAACACAACAGGCCATCTCATACTCATTTGGATCTATTTAGACGACGTTAACCAATATATCTATAGCTTTAGATTATATTCGATAAAAGTAATTGGACTTTTTTTCTTTTTTTGACTCGTTGACAAGTGTCTTTGTAATATGTTTTTAGTTCCCTTTTTTGTTGTATTATAGACAGATGAACAAATTAAATTTGGCCTCAAAGAGAGAACTTAATCCCTTCTGAATATTTTTGCCACGTTTCTTTGCAAAAGGGAGATATATATATATATATATCTTTAGTCAGTTTTGTTGTTATGAGAAATTATGGGTTATTTTGTGGCATGCTCTTTGGGAGCTGCACAGTTATGGGGAGGACTCCCACTGCTGTGCAAGTTAAGTCTTTCACAAAACAAGGACAGCAGAGAAGGGTTTGCAGAGACTCCCTCTGAAAAACACAAAGAATGGACTCTCTCCTGGGATGAGGACTTGCTTTCTTTACCTCCGGTTCTTTCCATGTCTTAGTTGGATGTCCCTGAAATGGACACAGGCTGTGCCATTGTGCCAGAAACATGGTGTTATCTTTTATGTTGTTGTTGTTGCTGTTAAACTATAATATGTGACTTCTTTTTTTATTATTATTTTTTGTTTGAATGCTTTAAAAATCTTTTAAGTCTGTGGATCTGCTGATGTACAGTGCCTTTGCTGCTATGGATCAAAATCAAAAGAACCGTGTAGATATACTTTATTGTATAAGTAGAAAATTACTTAATTTCATACTAGAAATGGATGGATGCTGCAAGTTGAAATGGACTGTCCATTGACGTTCCTAATGTGGTAGCAGAAAAAAAAAATGGTGTCTTAAGTGCTTAGTGTTTGATGTCATTAACAGTTTCGTAAAACTCTACAGTGTAGAAAGATTTTGATACTAAACTGTGCATTGTACATAGTTCTAATGCATTGTATTGACCACCAGTACTTCTATAATGGTAGATTGTTTGTGCATTCAGACTTTTAAGCATTAAACATAAATAACTTCTAGTATGCTTATTTTTCTAATTCTTTGTCTTGATGACATTAGTTTATTTTTTATCTTTGGCTGTGCCACTCCTGTATATTAAAAATGCCTAGTTTTTTCAAGGGAGTTTGTTGTTAAGGTAATGTGGTTTTTTTGTTGTTGTTAAAGTAGTGTGGGTTTTTTCATTATTGTTACTTTTGTTTTGGTTTTGTCTTTACTTGAAAGGAGCTAGGAAAGGTAGGTGATAAAAGTTAACAGTGACCAGTTGGTGCTAAATATTTATTGAGTACCTCTTTGATTTGTAAAAGTACTGCCTATCAAAAGGTTATCATGTCCCTCAGACCCTTGATGCTTTAGAGGTATGCTGTTCAATATGGTTACCCTAGGCATTTGTGGCTCTTTAAATTTATTAAAGTTAAATAAAACTAGAAATCCAATTTACCAGTCACACAAACTACATTTCAAGTGTCAAGTAGCCACATGTGGCTAATGGCTACCATATTGGACTGGACACATGAACACGGCCTTTAAGTTTGCCCACGTAAACCACTGCCAGCCATTTGGGTTTGGGAAGCATTTCTAGCATAACACACTGAGATCTTTACACCAGGCTTCTTGGGCTGCTACTGGTTGGGTGGATGAAGATTCAGTATGAGGAGGAGTTTAAATTAAGAATTCTAAAGTCCTGGGACTCAAAAATCTGACATTTTAAGGTTCTACTAAGTAGGAGGATTGGAAGCCCCACAGTATTCTGGAAGGATCGTCTGTAACAGAGATACTGACTTTGGTTGCTGAGTTAAGTACAGTATTCATCAATTGGACTGGAAGCCGCACTTCCAGTGTGATACCATGTGCGTTGTTACATCGAATGATGACACACAAGTCAGTCAAGGCTGGCTGAAAAATTAAAAACCATAAATAACGCAGGGGTAAGTGATCATCTTCAAAGGTGTGTCACCTAGACGGGATGGTGGAGTGTATGTTGGACTGGGAAGGAATAATCTTCAATATCTGCTATGTACAGAGCACTGTACTGGCTTATATTACATATATATGTATAATGTGTATATAATATAGACATACAATATTAGCCACCTACACATTAGCTCAGGTTTTTCACAGCTCGTGTACCTATATGATCCAAAGATTTAGCCTCAGGGAAAAGCGAGTCTGAGGAAGGTACTAATGCGTCGACTGTATCTGTACACACTGGAAGACTCGGGGCGTCTGGAGTAAGAGGGAGGTGTTTATCCAGGTAAGGCACAGAGCAGAGTTGTCCATTGGACCGACACGGTGGACCACACGCTGGCCTAATAACATCTGAGCTCTGGGTGGCTTTGGAGAGGAGAAGCTGGCGATCCCTCATAGAGTGGCAACCCCAGGGTCTGGACAGCAGCATCACCTGGCCTCCACTGAGAGCTTGGATTCCCCTCGCCACATAAGACGCTGCATCCCCTTCCCCACAGCAGGGATTGTGTGAACTTTCTCCTCTAGTGCCCAGCTTAGTACCAGGTTTATATAGTAGTAATCTTTGCTGAGTTAGGCAGATTAGGAGGGTAGTGAGCATGGAAATGTAAGTTCTTCCCACTTTTAAAGTATTCCTCCGTAAATTCATGTGTAACCTTATTAAAAATGTTTAAAAGATGAGAGAGCGTTGGAGTAAAATAGCTTTGGCACAAAAAATATGACACGTGCATAGTGTGCACCTCTAGAAGGTGGAACGTGCCGGCCTCAAGGGGTTGGAATTCCTACTGGGTATCTGATGGGTGAAGCCTGTGATGCCTTTAATTGTCTTTAGAGAAATCCAAAACATTGGCTGTTGAATGGAATAAAAAACTGAGACGAATGCATAGATTTAACTTTTTTAAACAAGTGGGCATCTGTTTCCTCTCATTGCTAATGTATTATCAAATTAGATTTTTATGTCTATATATTAATCTCAGCCCTGGCTTAATGTGCACAGAGTCTTGATGTTCTTGATATTGTAATTCTAATGTTAAAAGTAATTGCTTAAACTTGGTTTTTAAGTTAACCATCGTTTCTGCTTCAAATGTAGTCTTGCAGAGTCTGAAGAACAACAAAGACAGGAATCACCCTGAACCAGGGAAAACTTAGTTTCAATGAGAGGAGAGCAGAACTCTCAAGACACTACAAGCAAAACCAGAGTAAAGAAGGCATCATGAGCTTCCTAAGATTGGCAGGTCAAATGAGAGTGACAGACCCTAAGTCCTTAGAGTATTTATGGATACATACCTCGCTTTGGGCCACTCTTTAGCAATATGGCTTCATAGTCTCAGCTGCAAGAGATCCAGCCTTGTCCTAAAACAGTGTATGTTGGAACCTTAGCTGCAGCCTCAGAATACCTGCAAGTGGTTGAAAATTACACAGCCTTGGGATATCCAAAAACTTGGTTTCAAACCATCACACACAGCCATGAAATTCTGGGTTCCTGCAGCCAAAAGCAGGGGAAATGGATGTTCTTCAGCCAGGGGTAGTATTCTCGTTAGAGGTGCTGTGCGCATGCTAGCCTCGTGAACATGTCCTCAACTGTCACCTCATCTACTTCTAGACGTGCCTCAATCTGGACAGTTTTACAGTTGTGCTGTCCTAGAAGCAAAATGTCCAACTTAAGGTATTTGTCGATTGATATTTTTGACAGTTTTATGGAAATTTGTTCTGAGATTCCGTGTCCAGCGTTGAGTAAGCAATTACAAAATTATGAAGATGTCAGTGCCAAAAAAATTATTTCTTTGACATTCTTGGATGCTCATATCGAAAACTACCTAGCTGCTGCAACTTGCAAAGAGGCGTTCAACAAGCTCTAAGGTCCTGCATCCAACAGTTTCTCACTGGGGCAGCAGCTCATAACCACCCCCGTTCTTTTGAGCTAATTGCATTTATCTGCCTTTAGGTTCAAACTTACATTCAGAACTAACAATGAAAATGGCTTATTTTTGATGACCTGAGCACGTTAGAAAACCTCTCATGTATGAGAGCATGTTAAGAGTAATGCTATCAAGATAGAACTCTTACCTTACAAGCAGTTTAGTTTGCATTTGTGGCAGCCTGTGATAGAATCTTGTGGCTCCCAGAAAGGAATTCACGGGAAGACTGTAGTTTACCTGTCCTCAGGGAAATACAATTCTCAGCTAAGACTTCATTTATTTGGCCTGCAGAGAGTTTCCACGGGGTTGTTTTTAGTCCAGAGGCAAATGATGAGCACAAGTGTTTTCATGAAAGTTGTCCCATTTGATCTCAATGCAGGCCTAGCCAGGGTGGACACTAGAATCCTGAATTTACACACAAGAGCAGCAAGGATCGGAGTGTTTACCCAAATCCGTATCTTCTGGGGATACAAGCCCAAGGGTCCTGACTTGGCGGTCCAGAATTCTGTACTGTCTGTCCAGCATGGAGGTTGGAACACAGATGGAAATGAAGGGTTCAAGACACTTCATTGCTCTTTGTCCCTCAGTTTCACACAAATTAACTGGCTTCTGGTTTCAGCATCACAGAACCTCTTGACAACTCCTGAAACCAATCACAAATTGTCTTCTTTTGTCATGTGCTGTGTGTTCCCACTGTGGACTGAATGTGGTACGTACAATGCAGATACCCACTCGTGTGTGAGTAGATGTCTCTTGTATGCGACCCTTGGCATCTGACTGTCGCAGGGAGCCCATTAACTTCACCCTGTGGGGTGATGAGAACGTTGGGAAGGTTATTTTGGAAGAAGATTTAAAGTCATGTAAATGACGTGTTTTATTTGACTTGGGTGTAGTAAAATACACGAAGCTACTTGTGAAGTAGTTGACTTTTGAGAATTTAGGCAGCAAAATTTTGGGACTCCATTTAGGTAGGATCTAACGAAACTCATGCCCTAGTGTTTCTGGATGGCCCTGCATTTCTCCCTAGACTTAAGGAACAGTTGGCCATTACCCAGTCTTCACTAGACACCCCCACTGCCTCTTCCAAGAGGAGCTACCATACTTGGTACCCTGGCCGTATCTTATGTGGCAGAAAGTATGAGTTGAGCTAGGGAATTTTTTGTTCTCAGGAGGCTGGGAAGTTGCAGGAGAATGAGTGACTGGTGGGAACTGAGTCAAGGGTGAAATGCAGGCATTGTGACCATGAGGGCTCCAGGCAGGAAGACTGTCAGACCAAGCTTGTGCCTTCCTCCTCATCCCAGCAGCACAGGGACTGGGAGAGATACTAGCAGGATGTACCACAAGGGCAGGAGTGAGCCTCCAGGACCGCTGTGCTGCAAGCAGTGTTCCTTAAGATGACTTCCCATTGCTTGAAGAACTTCAGTTGGATGCCTCTTTGCCCTGGAAGAGTTGAGTTTAAACAAATACCTATTCACTTAAACACCTGTTGGGGTCAACTTTGGGTAATGTACCAAATGCAGAGAAGCCTGTTAGTGCCGAGAATAAAGCATCCCTCTCAGAAGTCAGCTAGTCCTTCCCAGATAACGTGAAAACAAGGCTTTGTTTCTGGAGTAATTGAAGAAATCAGCTGTTAAACCTTGTTCTTAAATCTCCGTCAGAGATTCATAGCCCCTTTCATGTTTCCTCTGAGTAGGCAATCAGTGTTAATGAAATGTGATTTCAAGTTTTACGGCTGAGTCAGGAAATTCAAAGTTATGGTTTCCACGCTGATGGTTATCCCACCACTACCAGTGCAGCTGTAGGCATCCAGGTTTTAGTATGGGCAAGAACAGCCTCCTGGGCACAAGAAGGTTGTAAAGGTTACTTTCAGAACAAAGGCCTTGATTTGCAGACACGTGTTTCTGAGTGATGGTCTTAAAAACAAAGCATAAAGTGCCCCTAATAAGAAGGTTAGTGGTGACTCAAGCTGACTACAAGTGAAAGGATTTAACTGCAATCCCTGAGGGGTAGACTTACACATTTTTGAGTCACCTTTGCATTTACCTTGAGAGGCTCTGCGTGAGGTGGTTGGCTTGTGCTTTGCAGACATCCTGCTTTGTATGCAGCATAGACTTTGAGCAGGAGACTTAGCAACCAGACTT